CGCCACCACCGCCATCCAAGGCCCCTTGCTTAATGCTGATCACTCAGGCCTTCCTCTCATGACGTAACTTTTATTTCGACGTACATCCCGGTTCCCCAGCCTGAAGTACACACACATACATACGCTAGAGAGTGCGCGCCGTCAACCGAATACGTGGCTTTAGGTAGACAGAAGCGCACAAACCCCCAGATAATGAAGAGACAGGTAAAGTGGAGTACCCGCCCAGCGTCCCGAGGTGTGGGAGGGGCCCACTGGAAGCGTTTTACTCTCACTTTCTGGCCCCTGGAGCAAGCTTACTGCGCTTCACCAACACCTCGTGTACACTGTGTGACACAAGGCATGATGAACGCATTCCGTTACACTACCAGAGACGTGGTGGAAGGTGTAGCAGCAGCGAGAGGGGTGGGCGAGGCGAACACCTGACCACCACCACCACCTCACCTGTGGTAACACGCAGGTACAACGTGATATACAAACCGACACTTGTTTCAACATTGGCTTCTACTACACGCAACTAGCGTCATGCAAAACACATCAGGCGGTGTCTCGGGGTGTACTAACCTGTAGCCAGAATGGAGAGAAACACTATAGTCTTCATGTCTGAGAGTCCTGATGTAACCGCACACCAATACACGCGATCCCAACTGGAACACTGAGCCAGTCGACATCACTACCCCCAGAGACTCCAGCTCCGTGACGTCACCCGCTCGCTCCGCCCTCCCCGGCACGTGACTTCTGTTAGCCAATCACCGCGCGCCGTCAAGGAAGTACGGTACTGGCGCATGGGCAGTGAGATGTTTTGATCACTGCAGGAGACTTTGATCTGAAAATATCAAGTTGAAGAAATTGTTAACTTCCTCTTCATTGCATCCCCCTGATGTTTTTCCCCCACTGACGAAGTCCCAGTCGCAAGCCGTCATAAACATTGCACACGTTTAGCTCATGCCGGCAAAGGGAAATTGCCTCACACCTCTAAGCTCTCACACGTTTCTCTATTGTGACAACATTTAAGTCATAATAACAAAGATGAGTCATAGTAAATATTGTAAAGTAATAATAAAAAAGCACAGACACAAATAGAAAGTAAATACACCCAAAAACAGCAAACAAATAGTACACACACACAGAACAAAATTTAGGAAATGTGATTAATATATATATATATATATATATATATATATATATATATATATATATATATATATATATATATATATATATATATATATATATATATATATATGGGGAATATGACTCACTCTCCAGAGACACGGAAACCAAGTACCTCAACTCTCCCTCGAGCCCATTATAGAACCTGGACATTAACATTTCACAGGATCTTGACGAAATCTTAATACGGGACATTTTATTACAGAGCTCCAAATCTATATTTATTGACTGTAGCGTGTTCACTTGGCCGATCTTTATGACAACCGGAACATCTGAAAACATACTGTAAAAGACATCTCGAATAGACAGACAGATTGATGGTTAATGTTTATGTATATTTCTTATCCGGTTGACGTATTATTGGTAAGATCTGAAAACTCCAAAAACAGAATAATTATTAAAATAAAAGGTTGTTTATTTGCGTTTCAATATCGTTAAGCCATTAGAGAGGTTGTCGTTAAACATTCATATGTAGCATTCAGGGAAAAAAGAAAACTGACATAAAATATATTCCCTGGAATACATTGGTGTTAACTTTTACTGTTTATGGCGACACCTCTCAACATGCAACATACACCTGCAGTCTCAGTGTATTTCCCCCGTGTGAAGTAAAACATTCTGCTTCAAGAATAACTTCCCCCTCATCTTCTCTCCCAAGAGTTGTTAGGCCTTTGAATTTATTATAATTTATGAAGATTTATGATAAATGTGTGTGTGTGTGTGTGTGTGTGTGTGTGTGTATTTACCTATTTGGGCTAGTGAGCTCGAACTGTTAGCTCATGGACCCAGCCTTTCCTACCCCCGGTTGTCTAATGTAATGATTCTATACCTATTGATTGATTGATGCAGATTAAGCCACCCAAGAGTTGGCACGGGCATGAATAGCCCGTAAGAATTTTAGACCTATTTCCTTCATCATATCTACTAGGCCAACTACTGACCATTCCCAGGGAGTAATCCACAACAGCGGAGTAATCCCAGGCAGTACCTCCCAGACACCTGTGGACTCCTCTACTACCCACAATGAACAACTAGGCGAACAGAACGAAACGTTGTCCTAATGTTTCTGTTCTACGAGGATGGTTTCCGTGTGTGTGTGGGTTACGGAGGCAATGGAAACCAGTCATTTCCTCCTCCTAAGTTTTCCCAACGTCAAGAAACTGTCGTACTAAAGTGCCCTTATCCTAACCAACTAGAGGATCGATGGGCATTCCAGGCTGGTGCAGCATTTTCGAGGCTGGGTCGCATATATAAGTTATGTACTGAAGGCTCTGAAGGTTCTGAAGGCACCCTTGTCATGTTCCCTGATACCAAAACAATTGCTGGTTTCATCTGTGCTGCAGGCTTTAATGTGTTCATCTGGAGTCAGGTTTGGAGTTATGCATGGACCCATATCTTTATCTTTCTCTAAATCAGGAAGCCACCTCCCTTATATTCTTTATTGTCCTGGTGTCTTCCCGCTCCCGTTCCTATCTTTATAACTTAACATTTATTGGGGTTAATGTCTAACAATCATCTTCTCTCACCATCCCTGAAGTGTATATCTCGCAACAAACTGCCTCAGTCTCCCTCGGTTGTTATCGATTATATTATCTGCGAACATGGATATGAGCGATCCTATTTTCTCTAGTAGGTCGTTGAGAAATATTGCAAACAAGATGATAACTTAGTACAATACTTATTGTACGTTGAGTACCTTGTGGAAGTTGGGATGCACTATATAGGAAAAAACTCCAGGAAGTAATGGGCAGGAAGTACAAGGCCAGGAAGTAAATGGGCAGAAAGTAAAATGCCAGAAAGTAAACGGGTGGCATATCGTTTGAGAAAGTACGAGGATATAAGACTTCATTTGTCAAAGATACAATTGGATATAAAGCTCGGGGGGGGGGGGGGATTGGGGAAGGTCTACCGCTGGAAATGATAGACTTCTTCTAGTGTGTGGTCTGGTCAACATACTTCAGCCACGTTATTGTAACTCATCGCCTGCATAGACTTCTTCAACGACAGATACTGGGAGGCAGCTGCAAGTATGTCCCTCTCCAGAGGGAAAGACATTGAAAGACACAGGACAAACCCTCGTACTTATGTTTAACCATGGATGTAAGTAAGCAAGGCCAATAAGCACGAAGGCATGGAACACTACGAGAATGAAAGAACAGCAAAATGCAGAGAGGGGATACCAGAAAGTCAGAAATGAATACCTCTGAGTGAAAAGGGAAGCAGAAAAGTAGTGTAAAAATGAAATTGTAACCAAAGCAAAGACCTACCCCAAATTCCTTCAGTCACATCAGGAGGAAAACAAAAGTTTATTATTATTTTATTTTTTATTTATATATACAAGAGTTCCTATAATCTTGTAAAGCCACTAGCACGCATAGCGTTTCGTGCAGGTCCTTAATCCAATTTATTTCCCGGAATACGACCCGCCAAATCATCTAACAAGCAGGTACCCATTCACTGCTGGGTGAACAGAGGCTACAGCTAAGGACTGGCACCCGTTCAATCCTCCCCGGCCACGATACGAACAGCAAAATAATACGGTCAAAACGATGGTGAAACTCCGGGCGAGTGTTTTACCACTGCGCCACGGGGATTACAATTAACAGATAAAAAAGCAACTGATGAAAAAGAGTTTAAGACAGAACTTATTCACTGAGAATGACAGAGAAGTACGTGAAGAACTGAACAGGAGGTTACAGGAAGTCTTCACGACAAAATAAGGAGAAGTTCCTGAACTAAGGAAGACGAGAACCAAACCAAGCAACACTGAAAGACTTTGACATAACTAGAGACGAAGTAATAAGACAATTGGTGGAGCTGAACCCAACTAAGGCTGTGGGGACCGGATAAGATATCAACCCGCTCAGATAATCAAATATAAAATATCAACAATTACATACTTGTCACAATGACATTGTAGTCCGGAATCAACGTGGAATGATACACACATTGATATATGATGGTAATTTTAAAATGGCATTTGTGGAATGACGTTTATTGATAACCACTGCCCGTGCTGGGGTCACTACTACCCGTGTAGGGGTCACCACTACCCGTGCTGGGGTCACCACTACCCGTGCTGGGGTCACCACTACCCGTGCTGGGGTCACCACTACCCGTGCTGGGGTCACCACTACCCGTGCTGGGGTCACCACTACCCGTGCTGGGGTCACCACTACCCGTGCTGGGGTCACCACTACCCGTGATGGGGTCACCACTACCCGTGCTGGGGTCACCACTACCCGTGATGGCGTCACCACTACCCGTGATGGGGTCACCACTACCCGTGCTGGGGTCACCACTACCCGTGTTGGGGTCACCAATACCCGTGCTGGGGGTCACCACTACCCGTGATAGGGTTGTCACCACTACCTAGGCTGGGGTCCTTGGTATCATCTCAGCAGCTTTATCTTTACCAAAATACTTACCCAATACAAACTCTACTCTTAAAGTTCTGAAACAGAGCGCTAACAACCATACCAGTAAACTTCCTAGTTCAAATCAAAGTTCTGGAACTACTCTTTACAATTACAGCCTAATGATAAAAGTTAAACCAAACGACCCATACAAATTATTTGTTTACCAACAGTATTCAATAAAGTAAATGATTCGAAATTTGAAATGCCCAAAACATTTAATTAAAAAAACTGATGCATGCAGATTGGCATAAAGCTGAGTATCACAAGGGTTTAAAAGCACTACAATAACGTTACTGATACATCATCGTTGAATTCCTTGCCCAGTGCAAAAATAAAAGGTTATTATGAGGATAAAGCACGAAGCTAGGATGACTATATAAGCACATGGAAGGGACTTGATGATGGAGGGAAGGAACAGTGTTCCTTAATAATACGTCTTGAATGATCAGGGATCGAACTCCAACCCTGCAAGAAACGAGGTCGTCGCTCTACCGATCAGGCCAAGTGGTTGAGTTCCTCTCAAGTATAAGGTAAAGATAATAAAGATAAGAAAACGTGAATATTGTAAAATTACAGATGTGTTGCCATGTGCACAAAGTATATTACCTTTAAGTACATAATGAAAAGTCATGTTAATACATAGAACATTATGACTGAATTTGGTCAGTAATAAGTTGTACATTTATGATGTCCTAATGGTCCAGATTATATTAAGACTCGTTCGAATATTGATGCATTTAATGTGAGGATAAGATTGCTAAATTTTCAACGAGGAAATTACAATAAGAGCGATTCTTCAATTTTTCTCTCGTCTCGCGAGTGTATATATATATATATATATATATATATATATATATATATATATATATATATATATATATATATATATATATATATTCGTGAGCATATTTTCAAAATCAGAAAATTCGTTTCTAACTTTTTAATGCGCTTTCAGTAATGGGGTCAACCCAAAATTACGATGGCAGTTTTGTAGGCTATCTTAAATTTCCTTTTCTAATAAATGCCACACAGTTTCTAGAAACACACTAATGCCAGTCGCTGATTATATGTTGCTTTTAATTCGAGAAATGAAATTGAAATTAGGGAGAGAAGTCAACGGAAACTGTGAGAGAGAGTTATTTCTGGAGCAGAAGAGGGGGAGACTCTGGTAAAGGTTTACAGTGTCCTCTACTGTTTTTTTCCAGAATATATTTACAATGGTAATGTCACCATT